ATACACAAAATTTAGTTACAAACCTGAACTTGTGAGGTGTCTGTGGTGTTTAAACACGTCCATCAAGTATGAAATAAAATGGCTTCTTGTAACGGTAACATAAAGAATCATTACAACATACGATAGGGTAAAGGAAACCTGATAGCTGTGTGTAAATTTGATAACAGTTTATCAACAATCAAAACCCGAACCAAGAGTAAAACAATGTAAAAACTGTTGCGCTTAAACAAACGCACAAAACTGTTCTTCTTGAGTCATATCTTGATCTTATTAATTATTCACTTATCAATCTTGACTGATTTTATATGAGTGTATGTGTGTGTGTACATCCTATCCTACTCAATTGGACGGGCTAGGTGAGCAACGAACCAAAAAGACGCTAGGCTGATCAGACCGGTTGGATGTCATTAGTTTAGTACAGTATAAGAGCGAATAAGTCGTATTTTGATTGGCGAATAGATTACGTGATAACAAGCGGCTCATAAAATCACAACAGAAATAAATCATTCATCCTCCTATTCTTCTTTTAATGTACCAAATCGTATAAATCCAGAAGTAGATGTCTAGAATAGAAGGATTGTGTAGTGACTAGTCTATGGAAATGTGAACTCCACGTAGAATAGTATTTCATTAGAAGTGTTAGTCAAAAAACAAGCAGTCTATTCATTCATCTCAAGTTAAATCAATCATTCGAATTGACAGTTTGTGTAGAGAACTTATCGATATATTTTGATTGAGATCATGAACCGATCGATGTTAGACGACCATTGAAATCCTGGAAGCCCTGGACAGCCGTCCAGTGTTGCTGGTGATGGTCTAACATCAATGAGTTCATGATCTCAATCAAAAACTTAATAATATCCACAAAACCCATACTGATAATGATCGATATATGACTGGATAGAGCAGATCTTATAATTTGTTATGAAGATATGACTGAAATCAGTTGAAAAACTACTGAAAATACGAAAGATGTCTAGACTCATCATCACTATGAGTGAAAAATATAATGGTTCACATTTTCAATTCTATCATAAACCATTGGGAACCTTTTATCACAAGTCATTTAATTATTGACATTAAAAAATCTCTGTAGGTGATCTACACGAAATCCCACATCATCTTTCATTGTACTAATTGGCGTTCATCAACTAGGACAGATGTTCTACTCTGCGAAGACTGATATTCTGTCTGTGTGTTTAAAATAGACATCATACATCCCCCTAGTCTGAGATGTTATCATTGGCGATATTCACCTAACAATTGATCTTTTTCTAATCTATTAAATTGTAATTTCACTAAAATAATGATCTTGATTAAATAGTGTTGAATAATATCTGTTTACATTTCTCTTGATGATTATCAACCATACTTGTTTTCTGTTTTTCAATTTACCTAAGGCATAGAATGAGTCAATTCTCTCCACGATGTTCTTATATTCCAAAAGAAAAATCTCCACATTCAATATCTAGTCTTGATGAAAATGAAATAGATGAGGTTCGAAAGAAGTTAGATCATCTTCAATCATTATTGATACAAGTTAAAAATCAACTCAATTCTTCACCCAATGATGAAGATGGTGATAATAAGGACAGCAATAAGACTGATGAAAGAATCCTTCTAAATACTTCAACTGAATTGAATCCTTTACAGACTATTGAGAAGAATACCGAAGAACATGAAGAAAAGATTGATGATGCATATCGAAATTTGCCTAATTATGCTACGTTTTCTGTGAAAAAATCACATGAATATGCTGTCAGAAATTGGTTACTATCAAATTTTAATCACATCTAACTACTTATATTTATATAAGTAGTTAAAAACAATTGTATTAATTAATAACTATGATATGATGATCAAGTTTGTCTTTTTCTTTTTAAATAAGTGGTTTCTAAAAATATCATTCATCTCATTATAATTAACATTGGTATGTATGATATCCATCGTGTCAATGTTCTTCTTCGCTTTACTCTTTAATGTTAATTGTAAAATGTTTCTGGAATGATTTATATATGTAGTTAGATATTTCTGAGTGTAGACTAAATTGATAATATTGGATAGTGTGATAGATTCAACATGAATCAAGAGCTTCTTAACCCAAACGATTGGGCAGCCCCAATAGTGATTGTCAAAAAGCCGAATGAAAGTATTCGGCTATGTGCAGATTGTTCGAGTGGATTAAATGAAGCACTGGAAGCCCATTAATACCCATTGCCGGTACCAGAGGATTCATTTGCGAAACTGAATGGGCGTTAGTATTTTGCGAAATTAGACCAATCAGACGCTTATCTGCAGATTCCGGTGGCGGATGAGTGTAAGCATTACTTGACAATAAACACTCACAAGGGTTTGTTCCGATATAACAGACTTCCTTTTGGAGTAAAGACCGCCGCTTCAATCTTCCAACAAATTATGGATACTATGTTACAATGGATTTGCCATCCATAACTAGTACTCGTTTCCTAACAACTGGATTAATTACTCAGTGGTCCCAAGATATACGATCAATGCTTCCAAGACACCTATGATCGAATACTAGTAACATTAATATCTGAATATTACTGGAGATCAGTTTCAATCCTAGTAGTTCAATATCAGCTTCTTTGATTAATATTGTGTAATATGGGTTCAACGTACTCAGAGAACATCAATCCTCTCAAGATTACAGATATGTCATACTGTCAAGTTCTACATTTTAGAAGTAGTTGGATAATCACGGCCCTCTACCGATTGGCCCCTACCATTAGACATAAATAAATGATAAGTCCAAACAAATCATATTAAGTGAACATCGAACCAATTAGGAATGCTGTGCAATAATTCTAAAACGTTTTTTATGGTAATTATCCTATAGTTACATAAAAAATTAGTGACATTTTTTTCATAATTAGATAACTATAATGAATAAGAGATATGTTGATATAGAGAGCTAATCAGAAGTAGTCTAACGCGAATATCAACCGATGGCAATCAGAAATGACCTGAAAGACATTTTCATTTCATCGTCTGTGGAATGGATCAATTTCCTAAGGATTAAAGTTGTATATATATGACTTAGTACTGATGATAGTTTTTCTTGATTAAAAAGCAGTATTTGACTCTGTGGATCGAGAGGTGCTGTGACAGTGTCTGTTATTGAAAGGCTCACATCAAAAGTACAAAAACCTTGTAAAGTCTCTTCACTCGAACAATACTAGTTGAGTTAGAGCTTATGGCGAACTGTCATCTGATTTTGTAACATCAAGTTGTGTCCGTCAAGGTTGTCCAATTTCTCTATTTTTGTTTAATTTTGTCATAGACCTACTGATGAAAATGACGTTCTCGTCGACTGATTTCTCGGGCACTAATCGCATTCCAACTGGTGCACTTATTGACGTAGAATACACAGACGACATAGTCCTGTTTGTTGAAGACACTGATGAAATGCAAATTCTTTTGATAGCACTGAGTAACAATGCCAGAATGTCTGAAATGAGTTTCTCCCTCTCTGAATACAAGTTGTTGATTCAGGACTGGTCTGCATCAACATCTGAACTAAGGATAGGGAGTGAAGTAGTCGAACGCGTTGACAATTTCACTTATATTGGAAGTCTGATCAGCCGTAGTTAGTTGGTGTCTGACTTAATCACAGTACGGATTCAGAAACCTCGCTTGGCGTTTGCTAACTTAAGTCACCTATGATGAAGGCGAAATATCCGTGGAGCACCTTCTTCATCGTAAACACAGTACATTAGCATCTCCACCGAATCCAAACCATTTGTTTACGTTGTGTCCAATGTGTTTCGCTGATATCGATCACTGTCAAGTTGCATTTTCTCAATTACATAATGATTGAATGGTCCTCTTGGTCTCACATATTGTCCGGACATTCCATGTATCTACATGAATTAAGTGTTGTTCTGGTTATTAGAAGTGAGTTGGTCTTGTGAGGTCGGAATAATCTCGTCGACGTTTCTTTCTGAACTGTGAAAATGCTGACTTCATATTAAACCCTACTCATTTACTTGGACATAGGATCGGCAATAGCTTAGACGAGGTACAGGAATGACTTGAATACAAATTTATGTGAATTGTCTAGTCAAAGCAGGTTCGTGTTAACTGCAGTCTTCTGTTGCTAGGTTTGAAGCTTTTACGAGTTCACTTAATCTGCGAACGACAACAAAGACTCGTTCAAAAGGTAATAATTGGTTGTTCTATAACACAGTGTGTTTTCAATTCTGGAATAGTGCTTCAATTCATAACCAAAATGCACAATTCCAGTCAACACAGGTAAAGCAATCAAAAGCAGGAACAAACCAATATGGCTGCCGCCAAGACTTAGTATAAAGTAAAACAACATAACTGCAGTTCGGAAAGAAACACGGGGAATTAGTGAAGGTGTAGTAAAAACAAAAACCATAATAAAATACAAATATTAACAATTCAAATGTAGTCAAAATGTTAACAACGTACAACTAAGAGAATCAATAGGAACAAAGTGCAAGTATATACATGGAGGGATTTTCCCAAACACACAAAGCATTCAAAATGGATCTTACACCCTATTCTAATCCCCATTGATTCGTTTTCTTCTTAATTACTTTGACCATACTACTCCTTTTATTACATATTATGATCACACAACGTTGTTATTATTATCAACATTATTATTAGTAGTATTATTATATTGACAAAAACCGGGAATCTTACTGCAAGTCATTCCGATACTTATGAAGTGAACTTCCTAATTCACAAATCACACCATATTCAAGTATTTCCATGGTAACAAGTAAGAATGTTCACCATTGTGTACAAATGTAACTATGTTTTCAAAAACTTCTGATCTAAAAATATCATCTAAACTATATGAATTCAGCGCGACGAGTTATGCAAAATGTTTATTTCAAAGAATTATGACATCTCGTGGTGAAAGTAGAGATTGTTTCGAAGTCACAAGATCTATATGTGTCAGATGTTGCTCAAAATAAGAAGATAAAACATATCAATTCACGATATAAATGAATAAACCTCATACTACTACTACTACTACTACTACTACTACTACTACTACTACTACTACTACTACTACTACTACTACTACTACTCCTACTCCTACTACTACTCCTACTCCTACTCCTACTACTACTACTACTACTACTACTACTACTCCTACTCCTACTCCTACTCCTACTCCTACTCCTAGAGGGCCGATTCATCATAATATGTGACTCCCCAGCATTTCACATCCTCGATCTGTCCCTCTCGTGATATTTATTCCATGATATATCAGTGCCTTTGCACATTACCCTATTCTGATTATACTCATTTATTCACTAGTGACTGACTTCAAGTTACACTCATGGAGTTCTAGTGAGAATCTGTTACCAGTTGAGTTCAACCAGGTCTGTCGTTAGATATCAACTCACTGAAGACAATGGTGACGGTGGCGCAACTTCGTGGATTGGTTGAAGTTAGACATGAACACTGTTGAATGCCGGCCGGCTCAGTGGTCTAATGGTTAAGCGCTCGAGTGTGAGACTGATAGATACTGGCTATGGATATCTCGGGAAGCGGAATCGTGGATGCGCACTGCTGAGGAACGGCCGTCAAGTGCTTCTACGTCTTCCATAGTGATCTAGCTTCAATTGACTCATGATTTCAACCAGTGAAAGAATTCATTTTATTAAATAAAATTTAGACATAAAAATATGAATTTTGGTCATCTAATGAAAACAGTGTGTGCTACTTTGATATTAACCAATTAAATCAAAACTATGCATCGTTGACAACCAATTCATAATTGATTACAAGTAACACACAATGTTTGTTCATGAAAATATGTGCACTAATTACTTAGATTAAAATAGTGTTAATCAATAAGGAGGTGGGGGGTCATGAATTCCAACCAACTATGGATCAATATCAGACTATGTTACCTCATTAAGTATAAGACTATTGCATAACCATGAGTTCATCTCCTATGACGATTGGTTAATAATTATGAAATGATTCTATGAAATTTCATCATCTTAATGGTTAATTTGAATCATCCAATCTGAAAGAAACATACAAACACTTCCAAAAAATTCTATATAAACTTGAAACGTTCTACCAACGTCTAAAACAAGAAAATGATGTGAGTATTGACTGTACAATTCAGTCAAATGATTGTATTATGTCCATTTCAATTTGATCTAATGAGATAAAATATTGTTCTATTCATCTGAATCATTTTAGATCTACATTTTCATTTGGTCAGTTGGTAACGATCTATTCAATCATTATCCTTACATGGGGATATTTTGATTGTCATGAATTTTGTGAAAACTTTGATTTACTTAGTCAAGGAAAAGTAGTTTTCCAAAATGATATATATGAATATGTAAGTGATCAGACAAGTTGCATTACAATATTCAGTCTCATTTTTATCACTATTCCCAGTTCATTCGCTCTAATCAATCCTCTCCAAGGATTAGTGGAACTTTTGAGAAATTGCTTATTGAGAAGGTGAGTTAACGACATTTTCCAACGGAGATGCTAATCCATATATTTGCATATTTCTAGGAAATAAATCTGAAATTTCCCTTTAGATTTTACGATGCTGATCTCAGTCCATTCATTATAGATCTTTCTGGTATGAGAATTAGTTTCCTCGAATTAAAATTTTTTTACTGATTTTTGTTTACTGACGTTTCAATTCCATGAATCAAAGTCGCTTTCATTACTTCAATAGATCAGTTTTAGGCATTTTTTGTTTCACATTCAATTTCCTTGTTCAAGTTGTACCGTTGTAGTAAACTAATTACAGTTCATCCAATTCATTCTAGTGTCCAGTGAATTTCAAAGTGTTTCATTCATTCACTATAGATCATTAATCAAATCGTATATTTTCATTTGATAAACACAGGTAGAATTTCTTTGAAAGGACAAGAGTATTTAAAAGAAATTTTCAATTATATCTCCGGTTATGATCAGTGTGAAGTTGAGATTTTGAATGAGGGTGAGTTCAACTATTATTAAGTGAAGTTTTGTTTGTTTTATGTTTTACATTACTCATTTTTATTTTGCATAAATGATTCGGTATTTAACTTGATTATTTCATGAGAGCTGGTCAGTACACAGTGATTATTTTATTTGTGTGATCTCATGCCCCAAAAATGTGTTCACAACATGTATTCATTACTGTGAAGGGAAAATGTTAAATAAAACAGTGATTCACTTCAAAGTAGACATAAATTAATTGAGTAGAAATAATAAACCATACAATGTAATTGCTTAGGCGGAAATTATCTACTCTTCCATCTGTTCGAACTATCATAAAACTGATTTTTCATCAACACGACACTTCTTGATAGATTGAACGAATCAAGCTGATCACAGATGCAACAATTAGCGATGTTCTGTGAGAAATCAGTTTGGATTATTGAAGTACATGAACTGTCAATAATTTGTATTTGATTTCCACTAAATCTTTCTGTCACTTACTTGGTTCTTAAAAGTTCAGTCCCTCTTATTCACTGTCGTTGAACTAATGGATACTAAACACATTCTTGATTATCATAATCGGTTGATCATGCAGTTTGACTCCATGCACCACCTCAACCATCCAATCAATCAACAATCACGTATAATGTGCTAGTACAACATGATTGATTAGAACTAGAACACCTAGAATATCAAGATGAAGGGTATTCATTTTATTCACTTACCGAAATTGATGTCATTAGGGTAACATTCCCAAGCAATAATGAGTTCAGTTAAGAGAATACTGTTCAATTGGAATAACAGAATTTCACAAAATTATTTTGTATGTTTTATAATAATGCGGATCATTGAGACTGTCATTTAGTTGAATTGGTTCACTTCAATCTTGAAAAGAAACATCATAACTTGTGTTCAAACACATTTTGTTTATTGAAAGAGGTAAATATTCATTATACAGATACATGAACACAAATTTATTTTACTTCCATTATTTCAGAGGAATATTTTGCTGTCAGAAGGTCTTGTCATACAAACATTGATAATAAAAGTATGTAACTATATCCAAGATTGTTTGATCACATGTGAACTATGAACACTTTACAACTGTTTTCTATTCCGTTTGAGTAATTGAATTCTTCTTTAAAAAACTGACGAAATTATTCAAGTGTAACCATTCTACAAAATCAAAGGCTAAATACACATAGAATCCATTGATTGTCCATACATAATTGATTGAAACTTAAAGAATAATTGACATACGTTTAGATACATTAGATCATAATCACATTTCATTTGTAGATAAACGAATACAGTGATTCATCATCATTGACAGGTTTCAAAGGAACATGATGACAAATCTGTACATATGTGTTCATCGGAAAATCATTTCTCTATACATCACATTCATCTGGATATTCACTCATTATACGATCATTCTTAGCTTTTATTCTTTCAAAATAAAAGATCGTTAAAACAGTACGTATTAAGCGTATTCACTTCTCATCTTTAACACATAATGTGGACAAATTCATTTGATCGACTGATATAACGATGTGATACATAACTAAATTCTAAAACTCGGATTATAAAAAAACAAACAAACAAACCGCAGCTCATTTCATTTGCCTCTAGAGTCAATTGTATCAGTTGAAATATAGGAAACATTTCACCAATTTGAATACCACTCCAACTATCAGATCTAATTAGGAATTAGATGATTTATTGTTTGAATATGAAAACTAAGCATTTGACATTCATGATGACGGAAACATGCTTATTTCATCTACACAACATTCATGAGATTATTTTCATCACGAAAACATTTGAGATAACACACTTAAATATCTACTAAAATCTGATCCCCCTATGTTTGTAGGCACATACAATGTCACATCTAGCAACGAAATGCTCGACACTAATCCTTGAAATATTAAGTATCGATAGTTTTCTTTTTTACAGATGATACAATCAAGGCAATGTACCTGATACGCTCGAATGGGAAGATATATTTCTATTATGAGAACGTAAGTTGCACAAACGAATGGATTATCCTATTATTTCATGCATATCAGTACTTTCAAATACATGGAAATATATTGAAAAGGATGAAACGATACCAACATTCTGTATTGTGCATACAGACTTTATGAAACTATTCATAATCCGTTCATGAAACAGTTTATTCTGGCACTTTTTGAAATAATGAACAACAAGGAAGTGATGTAATATGTAAATAACTTCTGATACCTACGAGCCAATCAAGGACAAATGAGTGTATGCCAGAATTCCGTACGGTCATTTTCAGACTTCCACAGACCAGTTGTTAGAAAAGTTCATAATTGAATATTCTGAAAGAGATGTTGTTAAAATCTTGATCCTTTCTAACATTGTCTTTGCTCGAATGTCACTATTTAGAACTTGATCGATTTGCAATACACTAAATACTGGATAACTAGAAATGGCTGGTTAGATGATAAATTTTATGAGTATTGAACTGAATCCGTCTTGTTTGTCTCGAGGTAATCAGAACAAATTGTGGAATGAATACTGTTGAGAGATGAACAGCAATTGATATAAGTAGACACATAAACACAATTCCACAATATAACAACAAATTAACGGTTATTCACAATCACTCTTCTAAGAACGGACGTAGTTGTTCATCTTACTATGTATGGTCTCATTCCATGATAAATTGACCGTTCATCTAACTTCACTGAAGTTGTCAACTGAGGTGAGTCAGAATATCTTTGTGAATTAGATGGAGTATATTTCTTAGGGAACCGAGGAGATCAGTATGCTTACTGTAAGTGTAACTAGTTGTCTTTGAATAAGATAATGTGTATGACGACACATTGCTTCAATGTTTGGTTAGTTTTGATATAAATGGTTGTGTATTGACAGATCTTGACTCAGACTTCCATTACTTCTTTCCAGATTCCTAGTGGAATTAAGGAACGCGATGTTATATCGGGCATTGCTTATAATATCTGGTGTGGGATCGGAGGTAACAAATGTTATTTACATTCAAATTTACACTGACTTACATGATTAGTCATCTGTTAGCATGATGTTACCTTCTGTTTGTACATGATCATCACTATACCAACGTGGAAGTTTTCTGTAATTTATAATGGTGACCGAATTTGTGTTTCTTACAGTCTACAATATTCAGTTGGTTTTTGTTTGTACAATAAAGCGATGGAAGTGTTGTTGAAGTACTGAGGAAAATTGTGTGAAATAGAATCTGAATAATTTAGGCAAACTCACTGTCCTAGTGTTACTATTTATTGAAAATTCAACGTCAATTTGGTGTTTAGAAATCTTGAAGCAACATTCAAGTGTCACATGTAATAAAAATTCATAATCGAAACTCATCCTGAATATGTTTTTTATCTTTCGAATTGATACCGAAGTATTTGTATCCTCAATTCAACAACCATCATCCTCGTTGATATTGCAAAGCAGATTTGAGTTGTTGTGATTCAATGGGAATTGTATTGTTTTGTCGTTTTGTGCTAAGCTCCATCAGACAGAATTTCCAGATCCACGTCAGCTGACGCTTGCCTAAACTGGTATATTGAGTAATATAACTAAGATGTGTGAATGTCTTCATCACAAATTTGCGGATAGATATTTGGAGGCGTTTTCTGTATAGTCTTAACGATCCAGACAGGAATATATGAACGAGGATATTAGACAAACGTTATATCTACTCGTTTATTCACTCACTTACTAACAGACAATCAAACGTGCAGCCCCTCAATATTGACTATTTCGGAAACAATTTGTAACGAGATAAACATATCTTTTCTGCAGATGTTGCACTGACACTTGAGTGAAACAAATCAGCAATTTAACCATATCATTTTCCATTTAGTGATTGAACATCGGTCACTTCCAGAACCTTAAGCGATGTAGAGCATATTTCATAAGGATGTTATTTGACCGTCATTGTATCTGTAATCAGATAATAATCAGTTTCTTATTTTGATCGCCTCCTAAACGAACAAACAATACGTAATATCCAAAATGGAAATCAAATTTTTAAATGTCTTCTTCTGTTCAATTAATCCTATAAGGCTTGAAAGGGCCTAGTGCAGAAGTTTCTTTTGAATGGATCAAAAGTGGAACACTAGTGGAATATGACGTTCTCGGGGGTATGTCAAACCATATTTTATCATAGTTGACTATTTTCACACTTGAATGCATCACTTTTGTTCCATAAAATTGGAAATTTCATGTATGATTTCACACAGACATTAAATGATATCAAGCCATCAGTCTCAACTGACGTTACACCAAACAACGACTCACTGATGAACATTCAGAATGATTATAGACACATTTTGAACTACAATAGAAGTTTTCAGTCTGATTAAATTTACTTGAACAAAATGTCACAAGACGATGGATGAGATGACAACAGTCAGTTAGTTGATTGTGCATTCGCTGGAAAGTGTTATTTGATTTTCATTTGATACATGCAATATCAAATTTCACCGAGGAATTGACATTCCAGAAACACTTCATGAAACTGTAATTGCCTTGGAAACAATAGCTTAATTTCCAAAATCTTCACTTTACCCTACTCATCCGATAGATTGAAGGAGTAGAAAAATCACGTGTTCAAATTTCAATTTATCATAGTCAGTAAATATTTGTACGGTATCAAAAACACTGAGGGTTTTCACAGTATGGAAGGGTTTCCTTTCTCCTGAATACGTACAGTGAATAACCACAAACATTGTTCAGTTCATTATGTATTAAACTATTGAAATTAATATTTCAACAACAGAGTGAATCATTCCATAATCTGACGTCCAAGTCGACTTCAATATGCGTTGACTGAAATATTATTCATCATCGACGAATGTTCATGATCCAACTAATCTAACGTGCTAACTGATGACACACATGTTAGAATGTAGCCACATAGTTTGAAACTTTCTATCATTGTAGATTGACGGAAATCTCTTCAAGGAAAATCTCAACAATGAATTGTGAACCAATGTCACTCTTTCTTTGTTGTTTGATTGAATTAACATAATGGAAAATAAATTTTCTCTCTAACTACAACTGACGTTCGTGCATCGGCTTCTAAATAGTCAGTTACAGTGAAATAACAATGTTATTCTCCATTTTGCATATGTAAACATGGTATACACGAGATATTTTTGAATCATAATGCAGGAACGAGATTCGTTGACCGTCTAGCGTATACATTTCTTTTCTAATATTAACAGTCATTGACATCCGTGACATTCGCCTGACAAATTTCATCGTTCAACATGCAACGTAACTTTATTCAATTCCATCATGTTTTCAGGAAACGTGAATGACATTGAAAGTGTATTGAATTTCGGATTGAGCAATGTGATGACAAATGCCCAGAGAATGAAATACTCATTTAACTCCGAAATCGTCATCATTGAGTTACAGTTACATTTGTTTTTGTAATTCATTTATCTTTTGTTTGATAACTGCAATCATCTTCTTCTTCCTTTCGCTGAAGATTGTCCAAATCACAATTCAAGTGAAGCATGTCATGGTGCAACATCAAGTACAACGTGTATTTGGTGTGAAATAGCCGATATATGCATCACTGGCAATGGTAAGGATGTTCATGTCTTCGAAGTAAATGGTTGCCAGATTAAAGTAAGCAATTGGTAGACTTTGAAGATTGTTCTTAATATTACGATATTCCATATTGCAGTCTTTTTTTTCGGAAGAACATTTGTATTGTTGCGTATTAGTAGTGATTTCTAGTGTACCCCAAGTGCATAAATCAAAGTAACTTATACGATATTGAAGCACATATGCTTTATTTCCATGTGGATATTCAACAATGAATAGAAGAGTTGTTTAACACTAATGTCTGGAAAGATGTTAATTCTTTAGCTCATAGAATGTGTAGTGATTCCCAATTGTCAATGTTTCCACTGAACCAACAACTTTAGCAACTACTGAAACTGATCTAGGAAATGAATTGAAGAAGACTAATCCAAGCACTGAATCACATTTGGTAAATATTTGATATTTTTTTAATCGTTATACTATTTCGTTCATTTCAGAACATGACTACAGATACAACTGTAGACATTGGGGAAAGAAAATCTTCGCAATACGTGTATATCGTTGTACCATTAGTTATATCTTTTCTTATTGTTTGCATTGGTTGTGGCATTTGGCTATGGTTCCACAGAAGGAAGAGAGTTTATCCATAGTCCCCACATACAGTTTCTCAATTGTTTTCATTAAGTTGACATTGTTCTTTTCATTTTGTAGTTTAGTAAACACACTTTCTATTTTTTGTTTATCATTTCAATACATTAATGATTGTTTCATGGATTTGCATATCACATTGATGATTCTTTACGTAATGACTGATGTCACTTTGTTGGTAGAATAGAAAAATATAATTTTTTGTATTTATGTCATTGTTTTCATTCAATGAAAAAACATGGGTAATTACACAAGAGGCTACAACATTGCACTTGTCAATTAACAGTATCGTGTATATGTGATTATGTGACCATTGAAATCAGCTAAGAGTCCGTTGTAAATGTCCATTTTGTCAAAGTTTCAATACTAAGAAATATCATTTGAAATTGACATCGTTCATTGTTTTAAACTAAACTGTCGGAATGAGGCATCAAAATTTAACAAAGCACCTCAATCCTTCGTTATTTGAACTAATTTTAGATGATCTAGCTGATACTCATGTATGATTGAAAAAAGATATAGAGTGAATGATGAACTAGTAACAGTTCTGCTGTAGCATTGGTAATAAGGTGAGAGATTTGAAAGAAACACACACTGAAGTGTTTGCGTCAATGATTAAACATAACTTGTCTAAAATTCGGTCCTATTCTCATGGATTTGTGAGAAACTAGTGAACAAAAAGTCGTTTGTTTTAAGTGTTCGAATGTTCGCATTAGTGTTTAGCACTGAAAAGTGTTCAGTCTTTCCATGTTATATGTGAATCATGTGCGAGTTGTTACGATATTGCCATAACGTCAAAAAAAATAAAAAGCAGAAATTGTTAGTGGCCAGCAATGAAATCCATGACACGCGTCACTTCGTCACGTTTGAGACTCGTTAGCTAGCTGAATCTGCATCACAGAGTTGATATGTCAATGCTTTACTCATACTCCATATCGTTTATTTCAAACATCGTCGCCCCCAAATGCCCTGATATGGACCAGTGTGAGGAGAGTCTCCTTGCTTTCTCGAAATACTCTCATACGGATACAGCCTCCTGCGGGGGTGTTGTTTACGAAAATGAGAGGACGAAAAGCGAATGTCCGGCTCTTTAACCGGATTCCAAACCAATGGTGCACATAGGCTCCAGTATCCTGAGGTAACAAATGATGTACGAACCAATCGTTGGTCACTGGCTTCCATGGGACTGCATCTCCTTACGATGTTTCACTGCCTTGTGGGTTAGATCTTTATGCCAAAGGCTCGGGGTGTGGTCCCCTAAGATAAACACCTGTTTCGGTCTAGGCACCGGGGCAGTATCACAGCCCACACACAAATATGATGAACTGCCTATAATTATAGAAACTACTTTACTTGCTTCAACTAACAATCAAATTATTATTATTATTATTATTATTATTATTATTATTATTATTTACTACATTATTCACCTTCTTTTACATTTATACAGCGGCTCGTCTTTGGTGGAAACGTTCTCCAGTCACTGTCCGGTTGAAAATTGTATGTTACGACCGAATATGAGTACTGAAGCACTTTTTCTGGAACCACGTACATCATTCAAACTGGCTGCCTTCAACGTTTGCACACTTATGCAGGTCAGACAACAGATAGGGCTGGCTATGTCTTTGGAAATTCTTAACATTGATGTCTGATGTCTATCCGAAACCCGTATTCACGAATCTGGTGAAGTACTACAAATTCGCTCTCCGTCTGTCGCTTCAAAAAGCTTGTTTTACGTGCTCTTATCCGAGGACCCTGTTAGATTAGAAAGTTCCATCAAAGTGAGAAAAAATCGGTATGAGAAACGATGTCATTTCGTCATCTCCGCCTATGCCCCGACAGATTGCAGCCCGGATGCAATCAAGGATGAATTCTACCACCAGTTATCTGTTCTTCTCCAGAAAGTGCGTTCGACAGATATTGTAGTACTAGCCGGAAACTTAAATGCTCAGGTCGGGCGTCTAGGCACAGAAAAGAGTCGTTTAGTTGACCGATGGGGACTTGTTGGTCGCAGGACAGATAACGGGGACCGTCTACTGCAACTGTGCACAGACCACAACCTGTTTCTGGCTAGCACTAACTTTCGGCACAGTCATCGTCGATGTGCCACCTGGCGTCCTCCCTCTCCATCTCAAGCCTGGACTCAGATTGATCACATCGCGATCAGCTACCGCTGACGTGGTTGTGTACAAGACTGTCGCTCCTTTTGGAGTACCTATCTGGTCTCTGACCATGCTTTGGTCTGCGCCAATCTTACCTTACTTTTCAGTGGACAACGAAGTGACCGCCACCAACGGATTGATGTTAGCAAGCTAGTTGCAACTTCTGTTGCTAGTAAGTATCGAATCGAGCTAGCTACTAGGCTAGCTACCATTCCACCGAAAAGTGTGGATGAGCATTGGTTGCAATTGCAAGACGCCACGGAAATGGCGGGTATAGTCATTTGTGGGTTCGCGAAACGTCCCGCTTATAAGCACTGGGTTTCTTCAGGTACCTTACAACACATTGAAGCCCATCAGTCTACTCCGAGTGACCGTAAGTCTGAACACAAACGAAGGTAGTTACTTAAGCTTGCGTGAGAACCGAGAAACCTGGTGGTCGGAGCGTGCTAATGAGCTGGAAGCAGCAGCTGCATCTGGTAATTACCGGAAATTCTTCCAACTCATCCGAGCCACTGGCAGTCAGAAGTCTGGTGTTAGCGAAACAATCTGTGAGGATGACGGGATGCCAATCACTAACATCCATCGACGTCTTGAACGATGTGAAGAATTTTTCGAAGGGCAGTCCAACTGGCCTGCTGCTCTGGTAACATTGGTCAGACTGTCCTGCCCTCCATGAACGGTGACAACTGATCCATCAAATGACGTGGAAGTCCGCAAGGAACTCCAACCCTTGAAGCGCTACAAATCACCTGGCCCAGATGACTTACCTCCGGCTCTTTTTAAAGATGGTGGTGATCTTGTAGTGTCAGTTATTATGCCAAGCCCATATACCTTATTCTAGTTTTCGGATATCACACTTTATTCATTCTATTTGAGTCATATGTTGACCTTGTTATTTATTCGCTTATCAATCTAGACTGTTTTATATGAGCGTATATGTGTGTGCCCTTCCTATCCCATTATCACATATCTGTAGCTTTATTCTGTCTGACAATAAATATTGAGTAACGCTTGACAAACACGGAGATGGCTTCTCAGCCATCTTCCATACATGTCATTTTGCTTTGCTCTGTTTCATTCGCTTCATATACAAAATGTGTGCACAGTTCAATTCTCGTTATTCGACTAATTTAATTCCGTTATTGACTAACGTGATTAAAGTCGACAATGATATACGAGAATAGGCGATAACAATCATTTATACGATTTAAATAAGAGTCAGATCCACGGTCCACCAAAAATTTCTGACTAAGGAACTGACGACGTTGTTTACGAAGGTTTGGGAGCTAGAGAGTGTACCAACGTCATGAAATGAGTCGATAGTTGTCCCTATCTTTAAAAAGGGTTCACGTTGTTCCTGTAACAACTATCGGAGTATAAGTCAACTTCCGATTGCGTCCAAGCTATTGGCTTCCGTCATACTTCGTAGGTTTTTAAAAACCCGAGAAAGAGTTACTCGCGAAGAGCAGGCTGTGTGTCGTTCCTATCGAGGATGTATTGATCATATCTTCACCCTCCGCCAAATGTTAGAACATCGCTATACTTATCAAAGGCCAACAATCGTAGTGTTTCACGACATCAGGGCTGCCTTCTATTCATTGGATAGGACTGTTCTCTGGGATTGTCTATTGAAGAACGGTGTGCCTGAGAAGTTTATTAACATCCTAAAAGCCCTATATAAAAACACCTCAGGCAGAGTAAGGGCATACAACCACCTCTCTCTATTGTTCCATTCGAACAGTGGGGTTAGGCAGGGTTGCCCAATCTCACCATTCCTCTTCAACTTTGCCATCGATGACATTCTGGAAACAGCTCTGATGGATGTAAGTAATGGCGGTGTGGACCTGTTGTCTGGAGAAAGACCTATCGACCTTGGGTATGCGGATGATATTGTCTTACTGTGCGATAATGCCCAAGGCATGCAATCCACACTTAATCAGTTGGCAATCAGTGTCCGTAGGTATGGTATGTGCTTTGCACCTTCGAAGTGCAAAGTACTTCTACAAGACTGGCAGGATTCCAATCCTGTACTCACCCTGGATGGTGAGCAGATAGAAGTAGTCGAGAAGTTCGTGTATCTGGGTAGCTGCATAAGTGCTGGTGGGGGTGTGAGTGATGAGATCAATGCACGTATAGTGAAAGCCAGAGCGGCTTATGCCAATCTGGGCCACCTTTGGCGCCTTCGTGATGTCAGTCTGGCTGTAAAAGGTTGGATCTACAACGCGTCGGTGAGAGCAGGTTTGCTCTATCCTTGTGAAACCTGGCCTCTCCGAGTTGAGGACGTTAGACGACTCTCTGTGTTCGATCATCGTTGTCTCCGAAGGATTGCCGACATCCAGTGGCAACACCATGTTAGTAATGCAGAGGTTCGGCATCGTGTGTTCGGGTGCAGAGACGATAATGCAATTGGTGTCACCATCTTGAAACACCGACTTCGGTGGCTTGGACATGTTCTATGAATGTCGTCCTAGAGAATTCCACGTCGTGCATTATTTGCCGACTCTGGGACTGGTTGGAAAAAGCGGAGAGGTGGTCAATATATGACATGGTGTCGTGGCATGAAAGAAAGCTGCAAAGGACTGCCTTGTGTTGGTCCTTCACGACTTTCTGGCTGGGGTCCAAGAGATGGTGCTACACAGTGGCTAGAGACGTTATCAGATATGGCTCAGAATAGAAGCCAGTGGTGGTCCTGCTATAACCTTCTTTTACTTCCTTCATAAAAAGTGTTTGTGTCTTCCTTGAATGAAGGATTTCTTCTGATTGTACCTTTTCGTTTCCCCAATTATTATTATTATAAAGCTACCTTACCTTATGCTGTTCGTTATTGTTCTTTTTTACGCTCCTTACTTTTTTTTTCCAATGTTAAACCACCATTAAAAACTTGGAAGGAAGCATGTGTGATATTTACTGGTATGAACTAAATCATCTAATAATATTCAATCATTTAAGCTAGCTAATCAAACAGTTGCTATGAGTAAAGAATACAAATGTTTGTAATGAACAGTGATAAGTGATCCCCTAGTGGAATAATGATTTCACTCA